GAGAGCGGAGTGGTGCGCGCGACATAGGAGACTCGCCGCGAGATGCATCTGGTAAGCAGGAGAGACGCCAGCTGTGGCTCCATTCTTGCGATTAGGCGAAGTGGGGCTCCCATTGTGTTAAGGCTGTCGCGTAGGAACGCTGCAGTTGCGTCGTTTCCGCCGACGAAGCTGCCCAGCACCTTCACGCCGTCATCAATGAAAGGTACGCCCTGCGGCAGTGGTGTTGACTGACGGCCTGCCTGTGACCATGCCGCACACTTAGCGGGGTTGTGTTGTAGCCCAATCTCCCCAAGGCTCCCTGTGAAGTGCCCAAACGCCGCCGCACAAGCCTTTGCTTCTCCAAGAAAAGTGACGTCGTCCGCGTATGCCAGGCATACCACGGACGGGAAGGTAAGTGCCGTGCTTGTCAACGCGGGGTGAATGGCGGCAGCAAACAGCAAGGGGCCGAGGGGATCTCCCTGCCTCACCCCGGTTTCGCTCAAGAGTGGTGGGTGCGAGAATCCGGCATCCAGGCATAGGGAAGAGGGGTGGCCATATGACAGTTTCACGAGTGGCAGTAGCGGAGCTAGCGTCGAACCTCGAAGCGACTCCGCGATGGCCCCTCGGTTAACACTATTGAATGCGTTCGCCAGGTCGGCCTGCAGAACGAGCGCTCCAGGGTTGACGGTAAGAAAGGTTCGCGTGATGTGGATGATCGCCTCTGCTCCCCCTGGAACCGCTACACCGAATTGATGAGGTAAGAAAAAATCTCGAGCGGCGCCCGCCGTCAAGGTAAGAGCTGTTTTGGCAGCGAGGCGAGTGATGCTTTCGCCGATGCCTATCGGCCTCGTCCCCCCTCCTGGTTTGGTAAGGGCAATCAGGCGAGAGGCGGTGAGGAGTTCGGCTATTGCGAGAGGTAATTTTCCAGTGAGTATGGTGTTGACTAGCGCATGCAGGTGCTTCCCCACTGAAGCGTTGATCAGAGATGCGTCCCGCAGGTGTTCGAATGTTGTTCCTGATGGCCCAGCTCCTACTCCCATCTCACACCGACCCAAAACCTTGGAGAAGACCTCGTAAGGCGCCGAGAGGTGAGGGTCTGGTGTGGAAAATATCCAGTCAGGTGGGGAGGCGGGCGCAGGTGGGTGCTTGGCGCGTAGTGCCTCCAGCACAGCCGGCGATGGCGTGCAAACTGGCGTGGCCTCTAAGGCCATGACGGCCCGTCGCAGGCTGCCACGTCGAGCTAGCCCCTCAGCTCTCGCGATGACCCCAATGTCATCCGGCTGGTGTCTGGGTGGCTGGGGACAGGTCAGTGAGTCCACAGTGTCCTTGTACAGCTCATCCCAGTCCCCACACATGAATTTGCTAAGTCGTGCGCTGACTGCCTTCCAATCTGGACGCCTGGGTGACAGCTGGCGAAGTGTGAGTCGTGCGAGGAACAAGAGGACGACCCAAGCAGAGTGTGAGTCTGGATCGTTCGCCAACCGCAGCAGAGGTACCAGCAAGGCGGTGGCGAAAAGTTTGCGAGGGTCGGGTGGGAGGTGGCGGGAGAGTGGTGCGTGGCGACTGTCGCGCAATTTCGTCAGGTCCCATGTTCCAACCCCAGCGAATAGCACGTCGTCCTTGGCGAGTGTTTCTGGGGATTTTTCCTCTCGCGCGTGGGTTGGGATGGGGTTACCGCCAGGTGCAGATTGTGGGGCGGCTCGGGAATGGGTTGGAGTGTGGGAAATTGGTGGTGGGGGTGGGGGGTTTGCAATGTTGCCCGATGCGGCTCGGGTTGGTGTTGGGGGTCCCCTCCGTGTGGATCTCGCAACTGAGGATCCTCCCGCCCTGTGAGTTGGGGCTGCTCTGGTTGCTCTAGCAGGAGTCTGGGTTTGGGGTTCATCCACAGACTCAGAGCTAGAAGTCGAGTCTGTGGATTCCGCAGGTACAAAGCTGCTGCCTGATGATGTCTCCTCATTATCATCTTCCAGCTCGTTTAAAGCCCTCCGTCCCGATTGTTGATACACATTCTCAGGTCCTCCTCCGCTAGCCCGTCGTCCGCGTCCCGCTGCTCCCCGTCCGCCACGTCGACCGCCTGCTGAGCGAGCGACATCCTCCCCGCGCTCCGATGTCTGCTGATGGCGGCCATGGTCGGGAGCGCATCGCGGAGAGCGGTTCTGCTCCCCGTCCGCTCCCCCCCGCGCGTCCCGCTGCGAGCGTGCCCGTTGCTCCGCTGGCATCTGCTGATCAGATACGCCGTCGCTTCGAGGATCTGCGGCGCGATCTGACTCCACGTGGCGGAAATTCCCTGCCGCAGAAGGAGCCTGCCCGCCTGGCGTCCGTCGTGCGCTCCGGCGTAGAGGCTGCGGCGCCCCGGGCACGATCGCCTCGCCGTCGTTCGTCTGAGGCGCGCGACGACAGGCAGGGGAGCCGCCGTGGCGGTCGTCACCTTGAGCCGCGATCGTCACGATCTCCGCGCCTGCATCGTTCGCCGCGATCTCCTCGTCGCGTCGTGTCTCGTAGCCAGTCTCGTGACCACCGA